ATAAAATAGAGAACATAAATAACGTTTTGTTTATAAACACACAAGCCGTTTGCCAACTAAAAATAAATGATGCGAACGAACACAAATGAAAGGGAATCTCTCGCTTCTTTTGTTTTATTCCTTCTGACTTCCAGCAGTTCTTCCGGATTTGATTTGGATTATTCCTTGTTATTTCGCCGGACAAATTTGTCTGTAAAATGGTTTTTCCGGACAGAATTTCCTCCCTTCCCCCATAACGTTTAGATCCCTCTGCCAACAGGTACAAATCCGGAGAAACATTTTTGCTTTAATATAAATTAATTGCTGGCAACCGCAAAGAAGCCGCAGGAAAATGTTTGGTCCCCAAAACCCAGACTCCCCAAACTCTGTGGCTAGGATACACAGGACAAAACACAAGGATTATATATATGTATATGTATATATATTTGGTTTCAATTTGTCAGCGACAAATCATCAAGCCTAATTTTCTTAGAAAAATACAGCATCTTTTGGCAGATGAAAAATGATTTTCAAATTGGGTGCTGACGGGAAATGTTAAGTAAAGACTTTATTTTGGGATAGAATTTAAGTAATAGAAAACACATGTTGGAATGACAATATCAATAGTTTACAAGTTACTTTGTTAGTATGGAAAGTTGTCTAATGTGTTAGGAATACTTTAAAGTATTTAAAGGAATTTTATACATTGAAAATAAGTTCGAAATTAAAAGAAGAAATATCTTTAGTATGCAATGTAATGATTCTTTCAAAGTTTATAGAATTTTTCATCTCATTTCCTAGTATTTCCCAATATTTATCATTAATATTTCTCCTTGTGTAATAAATGTTAGAGACTCGTGTGTCGAATTTGGTTTTAGACTTTCAATGTTTTCAATGTCAATCCGCGTGTAACCGCAACAGCAGGAGAAAATGAAGCGGGATTTTCTAATTGAGGAGGCTGCGTGAGTTTGCTGCCTGCCGTCCTAGAGGAAAATTCCCACTCGAATTGGAATGTAAACAAAATGCGTTATAAAAATAGACAAGCCATGAACACACATTTTCCCCTTTCATTCCATTTCGTTTGGGATTCGCTCTGGAGCAATTCACGTGTGAAATGAACAAAGTGTTGATTTGTTTCTAGGCTATGCATACTACAATATATACAATATATACTATATATACTATATATATATGTGGGTGAGGGACTGCAGACTGGAGGTTGGGAATAATGCCAGCAGGAAATAATACAATGTGAGAAGAGCTTGTCCCCTTTTGCGTAGGAGCAGGCAAATCAAGTTCGGGGAATGAAATTCATTTCATTTTGGTTTGTTTCTTGTTTGCTGTTGCCATGTCACGGTGCACGCGGAGAAAATAAAGGTTAGAAATTGGTCAGTAATTAGCTTTAAAGAAGGAGTTACTAGGTGTGATTTGTAGGGCAATAAGCTGGGCTTAAAAATATTTAAGTTATTCTTTAAACGATGCCACTTTGATATGATTTTATAGATATTTTTGTCAGGGTTAAATAAGAATTGATGAATATAGGTTTATTTTATATAGCTAGATCTTTATATATTACAAACATAAAGCTTAAAGTTTAATATATTTTGTTGTTATAAAATATTTAGTATATTTCCTCTTTAATCTAAAACAAATATCATCTGTTGATAACCTCCTAAAGCATTGCTAAGGACTTTAAAGATATAGAAACTTTGCTGTAATTTATTGTATAATTTCCTTAAATTACCACAAATTTTCTCTCTGTATTTACTGTCCACAAAACCCAAGAAATGAAAGATGAAAAGCAGCTACAAAATCTCACAAATGCAGGCAAAGACCCGTTGGACTGCTGATGACGTTTTCGCTGTCTATTGTTGCTGCTGCAAGCGATGATGTTGCTGCTGTGTCTGGCGATGTTGCTGCTGTTGCTGCTGCTGCTGCTGCTGCTGCTGATGTCGTCTGAGTGACTCCGAGTCCGAGTTCGGAAACGCAGGTCCCACGTCCCAATGTCCCAAGTCTGGCTGCCCGTTAAGGTCGTTGCGATGCGGTTCTGTTTCTGTTTCTGTTTATGATGTGCAACAACAACTGCCAGCAGCAACATCGCGGGATCCCGCGCTTTCTTAGCGCTTAAAATTCCGTTTCGAAAATGGAAAACAAAACAAAAACAAAATGCTCGACTCTGAGCTCCAAGCACCCATCTCCACCAACTTCAATTCCGAATCCAAACTCGCAGCCAAATCAACTTGAGCAGTGAAGTGGCCACGCAGCAGCAACATCAGCAGCAGCAGCAGCAACATGAGGGAAAAAAAACAGAGGAAAAAGAAAGAAAAAAAAAAAGAAAATTAAAACGCACGTAGGCAGCAGGAAGAATCGGGGGAAGTTAACGTTGTCTGCCCTCGTGGCGCGTTAAGTTGTTGATTGAAGGGTATTTGAGTAAAGTATCTCTACGTGGATGTTGCTTGCAGCATTGCAGCAGCAATCATAAATGCAGGCAATACAGCATCTTTTCTTTATTTTTATTTCTGTTTCATTTCTTTTGGGGGAGTAGGAAAAGTCTGGCTTATGTGGGTTTTTCTCGTTTGCCTCCGAGATTAATGCGCAGCTGTGTGCGCTCCTTTATTGGTTTTTTTGTTCCCCCCTTCAAACTGGGTTAAGAGTTAATTAGACCAAAAAGCCATTTCGGTCAGAACTCAAAGTTCAATATGAAAATCGTATCGGGTTTCAGGAGGATAACCTGCCCTCGTCATCCGCTCATTTTACGCTTAGCCAAACCCTTTGGACAATGGCCAAAAAAAGAAAATAATAATGTTAGCCAGACACTGGAACCCCAAAGACTGTACCCCAGACATAACTTTTTGTTTCGCTTCAGTCTATCCTTGGCTATTTTCCGTATATATTTTTGTTGTTTTTGTTTTTTTATATATAATACAAACTTGTAAAAACGTCAGGCGATAAAAATGTTCGATAATCAAAATGAAAACGACCGCCAGGGGGATCAGTTCGAAGGGGGAACCCATCGAATGGATATCTAACAATAAAACAGGAAGAGTTCAGAGCGCAGGACAAGTGTGTGAAAGGTTCGGGATGAAAATGCCTTCGAATGCTGCTGGAAAATCAATAAGCCATGCTTATTGTCAAAGACCAGGGAACAGGCCAACAAAGCGGACAGAAACAGAAATGATATGGCAGCCGCACACACAGACACATGGGGCGAGCAGTCAAGAACATAAAAATGCCATTGACTGTGGCCCATCGTCTGTGATTGTGATAGGGATAGGGATAGGGAGATGCACTGGGAGAAATTGTTGGGGTATATAATCATATGATTTTACTGTGCAAATTGGGATCAAAGTTTTTGAAAAATGAGCAAAAAATAAGTATATAATTTGAACATAAAAATAACATATTATGGAAATAGAAATAGCTGAAATTGCTGATACTTTAAGAATGTTTAATGGTTAGGGTGATGTGCAAAGCGATATTTTAATGGTACGATATAATCTTGTGATTTAAGTCTGTAAATTGGGATCAAAGTCCTTGAAAAACTACTAGAGATACATTGTAAATTAAGCTCAAATTTTGATCATATAAATACTATATTATAGAGTAAGGAATATCAGAAGGCCGATATATAAATATATATTTAATTGCAGCAATACAATTACAATCTACTTGCGATAAATCGAAATTCTCCCATATATATCCCACAAATTTTTGTCTTTTAAAGCTCTCAGGTTGTTTATTTTATAGTTTTAGCAAATGTTCTTTCAGTTTATTTATAAGATCGATATTTCGACATTAAATTCGATATATTTCGATTTGTTAATATTCGATTCGCTGACTTTAAATCCTTAGTCAGGTACAAATAAGCTATATAAGTAAATCCAATTAAAGACCAGGCAAAGCCCATCCCCTTTTTCATTTTAAAGAACATTAAAAATGTATAGCATTTTTCCTTTGTGTAAAATTAGAAAAGAGATAGATTTTGTTTGCTCTTGCTATACCCCACATAATTCTTTTTTCACTGGCGACCAAATAATGAAAGTTGCTTTTGCACCCCGGCAAAGAGCCAACAAAACTGCATTGCAAAGTTCTAATTTGGCCGAGGAAAAAATAAGAGAGGGAAACCGCTGCCGCATGCAGCAACAAAAACAAAACTGTACCAAAAACAACAAAACATAAAAACCGAACAAGAAAAAACACAAAAAACAACTACGAGGCAGGAAAAAATGAAGTCAAAAGCGCACATGGTGGACGGTCAACGAATTCGGGTTCGGCTTTTGGTGGTTCTTTTTCAGTTAACACGAAAACGTTGTGAAAGAGCCCGGCTCAGGCAGGCAACAGACAACAACAACAACAACAACATGAAACAGGTAGTAAAAATCGACAACAGACCGGGCTTACATGACTATATGACCATATATATACATATATATATATAAAGGTGTATAGGTGTATCTGTGTTGGCAGGAATAGGGAGGGAAGCAGAGGACTGACAACGCTTAGAAATTAAAGAAAAACACTGGCTAAGGCTGAGTTGTGGCCGAAACCCAAGACCCGAGCCCCTGTTGACTATCATAATAATAAAATTCGAGCCGAGCACGGTCATATATATTTTACCTGTATATATATACATACAAACGTGTGTTTCAAATCGGGGTTAGTGACCCAAAACTGTGTTTTGATAGTGAAAAAGTGTTGAGCTCAGTCAAAAAAATATAAAAAACGATCCGAGACCGATATGAAAATGTATCCCAGAGAAGAAGTGAGCGGTAAGATAGCTGGGAAAATGAATTTAGCATAGTTCCAAAAAAAAAGAAAGACAAGACACAACAAAAAAAACTTAATAATTAATAATTCTTGAGCTGCGATGAGTCGGCGAAAATGGTGGGGAAAAGGCAGTTTACGAAAGTGGAGCAAATTGGGGTTAAGAAAGAAACAAACAACAACTATCACGCAAATTTATAGTACCATAATTAATGTTTATATTTGCAATTTTTTCTCCCCTCTTTATTTATTTGCAGGCAGAAACCAACAGAGAGCCACAGAGCCCAAATGCATTCATAAATTATTCAACATAAATTAAATCTAAATGAAAGTGCTGAAAGTAAATAAATGATAAGTAAATAACAAAACCGCAGAAATACAACAAACCTGTGCATAGTGTAGATCAATACGTATTAGGTGTATATATATATATGTATATCCCATATATCGCGAGTGTTAAAATGCTGCCCATTGCAGCATTCAATATTGTCGGGATGTCGTCTCTCTGAAATCAAAAAATAATAATAATAACCCAAATCAAAAATATATAAAATATATACCAAGCAAGCCAAATCAAAATTGCATTAAATCGAAACTCAAATTGTTGTCACTTCAACAATTTGAGCTAAAATATATATATATATTTATATATATATATATAAATTCGTTCCCATCAGACATTGAGCAACGGCCTCACAACGGAGTCCCCAGAGTTTATGCGGTTAGAGGAAGAGGATTTCGAGATGGATATCCTACCGAGTGGAAATATCTTCAACGAGTTGGAGAGGATCTGCACTACCGGCTACTTCTCATCACAGCCATCGATTGAGGATCAATGGCAACAGGTTAGTGTCTACTTAGGAAATATATAGAAAATATATACAAAATTATATAGAAAAAGATGAAGAACATGAAGGAATATTTCAAGAATAAAGTCCCTTAAGAATTATGGTAGATTCCCTGAAATTAAGCCATATATAAATTCCTTTACTTTGTGTTTCCCTAAACTTTGTTTATTTACAAATACTCACTATAAATCTCAACAATTTCCATAGATTCCACACATAACTTTGACTTGAAATTAATTTCTATTAAATTAACCAATTTATTAAAGTCTAAATTTATGTTATTTTAAAGTTCTTAATTCCAAGAAACAAAATCTGTATCTATTTTTAGTCTGCTTGTTTGGAAGAACCACTTAATTTTCCTTATAAATTTTCCTGGCTTCTCTAAAACTATATATATATATATCTTGTGACCCCTATTTGATTTTTGAAATTATCTTTTGAGAATTTCTATTGTGTTGCCATATCACATAAATCATATTTTACCCCCTCTCTCTCTCTCTCTCTTAGTAGCTTCCATAATAATAATAATTTTCCCCCTCGCGGGTTGACGTCACCCCCTTAGTTGGGGTTTTTGTTATTTATTTAACATTTAGACATTTATCATAGACTCAACTACTTAGTCTAGTCAGCAGTGGTATTTTATCGAAAGTATTAACCAGACTTTGTAGCGACTTCTTTCGAAAAGGTTGCGCAATCAGCCAAGATCGGGAAAGTATATATATTTATGTATATATATTTCCCTGAGTTCCAAAAATTGCGAAAACAAAAGAAAGAAATGAATGAAGAGCAAATGTTTCAAGGTCTCACTTTCGAGTTTACCTGAGCGAGCGTGAGCTAAAATTAAATTGCTAAAAAATTATAAACTCTTGATAAGCGCAGCAGTGTATAGCATATGAATATATATATATTCATATTCCCCCGATATATGTATGTATATACCCGGCGATATATATGTTTGCAAAAAGTCAACAAGAGGAAGAGCCAAATAAATAGATGCCAGCCCATAAATAAGTAAAATTCACCAGCGTCGGTTATCATCGTCTGAGGGCATGCATAATATATATACTAAATACACAAACATGTGTGTATATATATATTTTGCGAATTTTTTTTCGCACACTTAATATGCAGATGTGTGTGTGTGTGTGTGTGTTTGTGCTCTTGCCTTAACTGTATTTTATTTTATTTATTATTTTTTTTTCGGTCGCTCTCTATCTTTTGATAAAAGCGAATCGAAGCCGCCGCCAGCTGATTGCAGACAGCTTTGTTGGCATTGCCTTCGCTTTATTTTCTTGTTTTGTTTCTCGTTTTTTTCTTGGTTTTTATTATTGTTAAGAAATGCCTGTGGCATATTCTGGTTTGCTGCTGTTATCAAAAACCTGACGCATAAGGAGATTGTGTTTCGCTTGGGGTCTGCCCCTCTTGCTCCCTTTGTTTGCCGCCCATCAGAAGGCAAAGTCGTAATTCACCCGGCGAGGGAAATCTGTGATAAGGCGGAGGAGTCTCCGCCGGAGGCGCCTCCAGCTGGCAAACCCCCACCATCGAGGTGGTTACCAATTTAAAGATACTTTTCACACCTCCAGTTTATTTGTTTAGTGTACACACACACACACACACACACCATCTGACTTATTTGATTTATCTCACTCATTCGCTTGGATGCTGAGAGCATTCCAGGAATGTGCCAAAAATAGATTTGCCAAATCAAAATACGAGTATTCAAATGAATTTCGAACCAAATGTTTAACTAAAATTAGCAAATGCGATTCGATTTTTTTGTGTTGCTGGCCTTCAACTTAAGCCATAAACTAACACAGAGAAGCCTTAAAAATATCTTAAGGCAAATTTTGTCTGAAGTATTATTACCGCAAAAAAAATTAAACACAAACTAATCTTATCGTTGCTGTTCCCCGGTGCTTTCCACATTTTAAATTCCATTTTTGAGCTCTGTGTTTCTGCAACACACGGCAATTATACGCCAAAGTTCCAAGTTCTTTTGCCTCGAATTGGGAGTCGAAGTTGAAGACGCCATGCACTCGTTTCATTTGCACAACTTAAAAACTTTTAATTGAACTCGAGTACACATTTTTGCATAACTTTTCGTATTTTGTATTTTGTATTGCCGGCGACGACGACGTTGACGGTTTTTTTTTTTGGCTTTGAGTTGAAGAGCCTTTTCAGATACCCTTCACAGCATAATAAGAACTTTAACTCTTTGGCCAAGAAAGTTATGGATTCAGAGAGAAATATATTGTAACTTGAATTCTTATTTTTATTTGGCTAAAGTTTGTGTAATTATTTCAAAGGATTTACTTTACAGAAGATCAATGAACTTAGTCGTCTAATTTACTTTTTCAGAGCTCTAAAGAAGTATTATTAAATGCTTTTAAAATATTTCAATGCCAAGAGATTGACTTTAAATTAACAATTTAAAAGAAAGAAAACTCTTTCCCTTTGAATTTTAGAGCTTTTCTGGCTCTAATTTTAATTTCTCCTCAGTTAGTGTATTTCCCAAATAATTCAAACACATTTCCTCAGCTCACTTGAGCGTTTTATTTCTTCGCTTAAATTTGTTTCGGGGTTAAAAACTTTAAATTGCAGCATTTAATAAAAGTTTTTTGGCGGGACTTGGCAGGTAAGTGGGTGGAGTGCAAGGAAAGGAATTTGTATAACAACTTTCTCCAGTAGCATTTCCCTCTCTCTCTCTATATATATATATTTTCCTTTTGTATCTATTGCCGGGTATCTGTAAATGTTTGGTGCCTTTTGTAATTAGAACTTGCGGATGTTTTGTTTATTTCCGTTGACTTCCGCCAGCTTCCGATGCGGCGGCTGCGTTTTGCTGCTGCTTATTGTTTTATTGTAATTGTTATGGAGGGGAAGTGACCAGGGAAAGCCAGGAAAAGCCAGGAAAAGCGAGGGAAGAGCTGTGTTATGTTATGGTTATGATGCGTAATTCGGTTCGCCAGTCAGTCAGTCGAACACTTGTGCCCTCTCATTTGAGCAGCTGCTGGATTCCAATTGTTGCTGCCGCAAAAACAAACAAGATGCGAGGCGGCATCTGCATATGTATTATTTATGAATTTACATATGGATGGATCTCTCACTGGATTCGTATCCGTATCTGTATCTATTTCTTGAGCTCTCCCGGCTGTTTATCTAAGCTGTGAAATTATGCTGCACACTCAAAACAAGGGCCAAGGGAGATACACATACATATATGCTTACAAAAATAAATACTGGAAATTGTATTTGGTTTTTACTCTTAATTTATTTCATATGCTGCAGATTGATTTCAATTCGCTGCGAATGTTTTTCTTTCATTTCTGTACAAATACACACAAATCCGAAATGAAACGAAACGAGTTTTCCCCTTTTTGTTTTCCGTCCGTTTTCAATTGTACCCACCAACTCTATTTTGCGATTAATTTCATTTATAGAATTTGACGATTTTCATGTTGTTATAGAATATTGGTTTTAATTCGCTCTCCTAAGCGGATTCAGTTGGATTGGCCATTGATGTGGCCGCTTTATCGCCCTTTGCCACACTTGCCACACTTGCCACATTCTGTTGCGGTGGCCATTTAATGTATTTAAATCATTTTAAATTAAGCCGCTTTCCCCACACACGCACACACAAATCCCACATGCAAAAAAAAAGAAAGGAAGGAAATAAATGCAAAATGAATTTATGTATTACATTATTTCATTTCCATTTGTTTTTTTTCGGGTCGAATTCCACCCTGTGTCTCAGACCCTTAAAAAGTGCCGAAATCAGCGACGACAACCTCCTGCCACTCCCACTTTCCCACTCCCGCCCTTCCTTCTAAGTAGACAATATGCAATCAGCAGTTAACATTTAGCACACGCAAAAACGGTAACGAAACCCAAAATGGCACGTACACACTCACACACGTGTGTGTGAAAGTGGAAAAAAAATGAGGGAATATGGCCAAAAAGAAAATGCCCCCGAAAGCGACTGCTGCCATTGGGAAATTCATGAAGACAGATGCACAGCCACATATAGACTTACACCTAATAAGCCAAAAGCAGCGAATACGCAGAGAAAAAAATATTAGGGATTAAGGTTAATAACTAATTTAATGGCATAATATTTATTTTATAGAATTTACCATTTATCATGAGAAAGTATATCAATTTATTTGGGGTATAAGTTTCTAGCAAATGAGTTTATAAAAGTATATATATTTTTAAATAAATAAGTCTTGCTCTTAAGACTTTTTCCATTATAGTTATCCATTTTGTAAGTAATACGATCTTTGAAACATTTTTGAAATACAGAGAAACAAAAGAAATTTGTTACAAAATTAGAAACATTTTAAATGTCATCGAAGAAGAATCAATGATTGATGGGTTTTAAGTTACCTTTTGTTTTTCCTGAGACAAATTTGATGGATCAGTTCCCGAAAAATATATTACAGAAATAGGAAAATAGGTAATAGGATATTAATATTTTTGTTATAAGTTTTAAGAATTATATTTTACATGCTATTTTTAAAACGATTCTTAAATGATATTTATTTCTGATAGATTGCAAAGATATACATATAACTTGAACTATATTTTTCAAATGCTGACACTTTATCAATCTACTGTATTTAAACTATTATTATTTTGTAGAATTTATAAGAATGTTTCTAGGATTAAACTTGCAGTTAACTTAAATCAAATTTCGTATTTTAATCAATTTATTTTAATATTCTCAAGACTAAACTAGCACTTAAAGAGTTCATTTCAAGTTTATAAGTTATTTATCAGCAGGAATTTTATAAATGAATGTTGTTTTTCTTTTTTGGCCCGGTGCATTAAGCCAAGACTTTGTCTGGCCATGAAGAACAGTTATTTTAGCCTAGCCAGCAAAAAAGAGAGCCGAATCGAAAAGAAAGAATGAAAAAGAGCCAGAGTGAAGGAAGTGGGGAAAATCCGAAATACGTGCAATTGCTGAAAATATGCACGACGTGAGGGGCAAGGCAAAC